TAAATACTACTTTTTAATATCGAAACCAATATCGTAAATATTGAACATGGTCCTTGCGAGCCATATTTGATATTGGCAACGCGAAAACTAACTTCGAAAAATAGCGGTCGCCTGGCCACACTGGTTGCGACTGTCATTTTATTATCTCCTTTTTCGATTTCGGCAGCATCAGCGAGCAGCAGCAAATTTTCAAACTCCCGGCTTTTTTATATACGCATATTAGCAAATTTTTAAAATCGGTTTTATTAACGTGCGAGTTTTTTGATAAAATCTGAAAAATTTTCGGCTGCCCAACGTGGGATTGCAAATAAACAGAATATTAAACAACTTTCCGTGCGTCGTGGGATTGCTCATCGAGGGACATAAGTTACATCGTGGGAACTAAAATACGGCGCGGGACCTAATTTGCATCGTGGGATCCAATTCACATCGCGGGAGTCCAAAAGTAGTCAAGATGGTAAAACCCTCCAAACGCACGTAAGTCCCAAACTACAATTTTTTTGATTTTCCAATCATACATATATACATATTCCCGTTACTCTAACGGCTGTAATATACATATGAACGTATGTGCGAAAACCCACTACTCGTTGGGATTCTTAAATTCAACACACGGTAGCATAACGCTTTTATTCGGTATTCATACCGCATATATCTACTTTAAAATTTGCTGGTTGCGCCAGCGCTATTATTTCCATCGTACATTCTCGTATGTACATCTTCATATATCTACATCTAAATTTTCAAAACGCTCTGTGTGGTTTTTTTTGTATATATAAATTTTGCCGTTTGCGCCGGCGTTAGAAACTTTGCCGTATTATTCGCGTATTTATGTGCATATGTATGTACATACATACTTACGTATTGGCATAGTTTCTTTGCATTTCTTTGCATATTTCGTTTGCATTTCTTTGTATATTTCATTGGCTGCGCTGCCTGCTAAATTTCCAGCTGCTATAATTTCCAATCAGAATCGCTAGTGTCAAAAGCGATACACTTAAGGAAAAAAAAGTATACTTTGGCAAAACTTTAAAATTCTTTGCAGGAATTTTCCTATACATATGTACATACATACGTCTTGATATGCATATGAACGTATGTGTGTAAAAACCCTGAAAGTTCGTGTCACAATTTTTACCACTGCGCATACATATTACTTTGCAACTTGCTGGTTGCACCAGCGCATTTCTTTTGCTTAAATATACATAGGGTTGTATATGTATATATTTTCAATACACTCGTGTTTTTGGGTAAATCCATTTGTGCCGTTTGCGCCGGCGTTGGAACATTGCCTTATTATTTGCTTATTTATGTACATATGTATGTATTTACATACATACGTACATACGTATTTGTGTTTCATTTGCAATTCGTTGCTTTCGTCAACACAACGAGTTGATATACATAAAATCTAATAAGATTCGCTGTTGACAAAAGCGATACACTCAGAGAAAAAAAGGCTACATTTATAAAAATTTTAAAATCATTTGCATGAATTTGATTTTTTTATCTTTTCCATTTATATACGTTGAATATATACATACATACATATACATATATACTAACCCATAATAATATTCAAGTGGTTCATTGCGGGCACATACATACATCGTTATACCTACAACCCTACACCCTATCTATATATATATACATATATATATACCAATATACATATAGGTAGGTACAAGCCCTTTGTACCTCTAATTTGTATACAGCTATACGCTAAAAGTGCATAACTCGAATTCGAATATTTTCTTGTCTCTCGAATACATCGGTTTTGGTAAAGTGTGTTAAAGATTCGTTTGCAATAATTTAACTAAACGTTGTTTCCGTCAACATAGACATTTAAACCATTTAAATTGATTTCAAGGCTTTTTTCGTGATATAAACGCACGGGTACATACGGCTGTGCGGTGGTCCGTGGAAAACCAGTGCGTTACGTGCGTTAACGTAGGCAGTTTAAAATACATAGAAGTGAATTTCGAAAATCCATATGTTTGCGTTGCGTTACTTGCGGTTATGCGTGACATCATAGATAATCAGCCGGAATAATTGTACCTTTCAATCAAGTGCGAAATTAATCCGAATACTAGCCACGCTTTTACTTTGCCATATTCGAATTAACTTAAAACCAAAACCCAAAACTTTCTTTGTAAATCAAATTTAAATCTTTAACCTGGTTCACGGTTACGCGGTGCGGTTTGCGTCGGTCGCTAATCGATTTCATATCGATCGGCAGTCAAATTAATACGTACCTATTACCATATTTTCCTATATATTACATTTTACTTCACACGTATATATATTATATTTTACTTCACACGTATATATCATAATTTACTTCACACGTATATATTTGTGGTTATTAGAAAATAAAGGTCGATTTTTACGTTTTTTCCCGTACGACTCGCTGCGTGCGTTAGCTTGGCATACAATTTCCTTATAGAACTAAGCAAATAGTTCAGGTCCCGATACGGATAGAAATAAAAGTCGACATTTATTTTCAATAAAATCAATTTCTCTCCTGAATGGTTTGCGAACTGTAAGCCAAACAGTTATAAACTTCTATCCCGTGTTAACGGTCCAATTACAAAGTCTGAAGAACGATAAACAATTTTTGTACAAATTGTTTTCTCAAACTTATCGGTTGACCTGATTGGTACCTTTTTCGACCCGGTCGAAGGTTCGTCAACTTTGTTTTATCTCTCTCTAAAGGTCGTTTGGTACATTTACCACTCACCTCAACTGACGCCGAAGGTTCGACTAGTAAGCGACATATCGCATCTGTTGTCCTGATTTGGAGCTCCAGGAGCTTGCGTTGACACATCTTGATCAGTTATCTGAAGTCATGGCGACTGAGTCAGCAGTAATGGCAGATTTTCTTTTCGATTCCAACAACATTATAACTTTCTGTGAACATTTTGAAAAGGAAGATCCGAAAAACCACACCGATACTTTGCTGGAAATCAAGCTTCAGGATCTCAATGCACGATGGGAAAGGTTACAACTCTCATCGAAAACTCTGCCTTACTGATGAAAAATATGTTCCCAACGACTTCAAAGAAGAAGCGGGTAACCAACTCCAATTGTGTACCGACAGTTTTTATAACTGCACATCACAGATTCTCGATCTGCTGAAAATACGCAAATCTCTACCACAAAAAACCGCAGATCAGATTAAAACACATTTCCAAGAACATCTGTCATTCAAATGCAAATTTTGCAAGATTAATAATCACCCGATAAAATTATGTTTTAAATTTCGAAAACTCAGCACTAAAGAACGCACTAAGTTCTTAGAACACAATGGACATTGCATCAATTGCTGGAGCGGCAGTCATTTGGTCATCAACTGCCAAAAAGCTTCCCAATGTTTTCATTGTAAAGATTTCCACCATACCATGTTGCATCCTGAATCGACTAACAAGCCGGAATCAAAGGCTATAGTTAGCAAACAATTAACTCAAAAAGGTCCAAACGCAACTTCTTTGCAAACTGAATCTACCTACCCTCACCCAATTCAATCGAATAATCCCATTTTCTATATTACTGAAGGCAACATCTACCAAGAGAAGCCCCCTATTGCCTCAGCTGATAGTTATTTCCATTTACAAACCAGCTTTTCAATCGATCAGCAGAAATCAAACCATCCTAATACCCACATGCATATCGAGCACATCTTTACTCCAAAAGCTTTTCAAGAGTCATCTATTCGAAAACCAACGAATTATCTACCAAGGTCTTACACCAAGAAGCCAAACACTCCAACAGTAAACCCCCGTGATTCTTATTTTAACGCATTACGCCGATGCATAAAACCTAGAACTCTACATCAAAGAGCTAAAATCCTAAACCTCAAAAGTCTCCTCGCACAAAACACAACACATCGATGGGTTTGGAGCCGGCCACTAATAACCACCAAACCAAGTGCGGTAAAATGCGAAATTGCGTTTTATGTTTCGCCACTTTCGAGCCCCCCCAGGGACGCTGTCGCCCATTACTAAACAAACCGAAATACAACTTCAGCAAATAGTGCCAAAGCCACTCGATCATCAAGAGTGGAGGAAATTATTCATCAAACACATCCCAGTATCTAAAGCGACTGCACTTCCCATAAATCAGAATGCTTCATTTCGCTATATGCAATCTAAGTCATTCGAAGTAACCCCATTACATATATTTTCTTCAACACCAAAAATCGCATCATTAAGAACAATAAACCCACATGGTTTCGAACAAAATGACGCAACGACATTAAAAAAAATTCACAAATATGTTAGCAATATCAAAGGTATACTATGTTCTAATCCTAATAATCATTTCCTCTGGTGGCTTTGGAAACCTCGTGAAAGTTCGCCACTTTCGCCTCTTCCAAAAAAACGCAAACTTCAAACCATTCACATTATTGAAGAGAAAAATTACATATTTTCTCCCTTTTTACTTTGGTTAAAAACTTTGCCAGTTAATTCCTATATACGCAATTCCAATCATGAAACAAAAGCTTATCAAATACAGTCCACTTTGAATAATATCTACGAATCTCTTACACTTATTGCAAAGGAAACCAATAGTAATATCATTTCACGACCTATAAAACTCGCACAAGAAAGGCATATCCCAGCCTTGAATTTCAAAATCCAAAGATATCAATCACACACACTCTTCAACAAAGAACATATCTTACAAAAAATATTTGCACAACACTTGAACTTCTCAATATTTATCGACGTTAAGTCCCCAGAACTTTGGAAACTATTTCTCATGGAAATCCTCAAAGAAGCTTTTATAACGAATTATATTTGCAGATCGCCCTCGCCACGAAGCCATTTAGCAATCCAGCATAGTTTTGAGATTTATCGTTATGAAGCACTAATACGTTTTTCCAAGATTACATCGAAAATGGATATACAGGACTATGTAAAATGCTCATACCACCTTCCCCATGATCTTCAAGCGCATGCAGCGAAACCATTGCTTAAGGCTAAGAAAAAGATCGGCGGCGGTGCATTCTCTCCTACCATCTATAGAAATCCAACTAGGCGTCGGGGCACAGAGATAAGTTCAAAGAGCTTTGCCGAAGCAGGACAGCCTTGCACAAGTGCAACGGGGCCGGCATGTTTAAGTGACTTGCGCTCACTTAAAGTATTTCCATGACTTGCGCTCATAACGACTTGCGTTCGCTTGAAATTACTTGCATGACTTGCGTTCATGCATCCCTGTTCGAATTCCACACTACAAGCATCCCTGCTCTAGTTGGAAGTTCGACAAGTGCACGGGAATTGCTTCCCAGGGTTGCTTATTGGCACACTG